GTTAAACAAAAATTGGGAAAAAAAATAAAAAGGGGGGGGGGGGGGGCTTAAAATTCAGGGGGTTAATAATTATGATTTCGACAGTATATTTATGAACAGAAAGTTTCCTTGTACTTTTTCCTTTTTCCAGAGCTGTCAGTTAGTGACATCTATTGGTCAACTGCACACATGACAGATGAAATATATATTTTGTACATTCATTCTCCGTAAATTAGAAATCCACATAGTTCTATTGTGATATATACGTTAAGAAAAGCCACAACTCAGAAGGTCCTTTTAACTTATTCTGCAAAACTTTTATTGAACAAAAGTATTTCAATTCTCACCACACTGTCCTCAATACAGTACCATAATGCTGGATCTAAACGATTCATATATATGCACCATATCTTTTTTTTCTTTAATATAATATATATATATATGTACATACAGTGGAAAGAGGAATTAAATAACATTGCTCAATAACATTCAGACAAATAGACTTAAAAAAAAAAAAAATCTGAAAACCCCTTGACCAACAGGCTTATTGGTAAACAGAGCAACTAACATAACGTAAAGAAATAAAATCAACATGTTTGTTTGTATTACTCTTGAATTAGTGTTCACAATCAACGGTGTGTTACTGAGAGCAGAGTTGGTGAGGTGCGATAAGACATCAATAGTAGCAGAACTGGAAGTGGGGTGGCACATTTGGTTGAAAGGACACACATTCAAAACTCTGAAACTACCCTCTCTCTCTCTCTTACAAGCTACAGCTCCTCTCTTTATCCCAGTCTCCGCAGCATTGATCTCCCTTTATGAAGTACCCTGATACTGAAGAAACCCTGAAGTGACTCGGATCCAGGAGGAATACCTGGAAAGCTGTGTAGGTAAATCCAAACACTTCCTTTTATTAATGCTGGACGGACTGTAGATGCAAAAAACAGTGTAAAGGCTCAGAAGATGGGACAGCACCGATTTAATACAGGGTGAAATCTGACTGTCATCCTATGTGTTACTTTGACAGTGTATACACACTGAGATGTTTGGGTGATCTTCAGACGAACTCTCCTGTGAATGGAATGGCAATCCTTTGGGAACCAAAATCACTCCTTGTTCTTTTCCAGGCCGTCAGTATCAAGAATCACACACATGAATCCATTCAGAACAGGAGCTACAAAGGTACATACTGCGATTCTCTTTGGGGCAGAAGAATGTAAACTAACGTAATGTGGCTTGAGGTTGGGGATTAACCAGCTTGAAAGCAGGAAGAGCCGAAAAGTGGCTGTGAAAACGGCATTGTCTTTACATCATTTATCTATAAACCTTCAAAATCGGACACGGTTATCAAGGACGGACATCTTTGTTTAAAGTTGCTACTGCTCCCTACAAGAGTCGAGGCAATGTAGGGATCTGAAATGTCAATGCTTAAGAAGGAATCCTATGTCAGGAGTGTGCAGGAAACAAAAAGATAGACGAAAGAGGAAAAGAGGTAATGTTTGTTGAGGGAAAAAAAAGTCAGATTTAGCCAAGGGCCTTGACAAGGTAGAGTTTGTCTCCTTGTTCACTGGTAAAGATGGGCGCTTTCTTGTAGTGCTCTACAAGCTCATCCATACTGCTGAAACGCCGCTGACCGATGCAGTACACTCCGTCCTGATGCTGCACCTTGAAGTGCTTGTTCTTTCCCACAGCTTTCAGAGAAATGGAGAAGTCACTGGGCTGGGGAGTAAAACAGAGAGAGAGACATGGAGAAATAAATGAATGGGACATTGTAGCTTCTGCTGTCTCATGTGTAAACACCAGATGGCAGTACTGACTAAAATAAAACAACACCTGACAGATACTCATGGATATATACAATAGATGTCGCCTGCCCTGTTGTTGTCTATTAGAAGGAATGCATGCAGGAGCGCAAATGCATTTGCTATTTAAACTGCGTGGTGCAAAACGTCAAACTGACTCCTGCGCCGAGCTAAAACTAGCAAACAACAATTGTGTCGCGCCTTGAGCCGCATTGCGCCGGGTGTATGATAGGGCCCTAAATGTTTAAATATCTATTACATACACTATGTTACTGTTTATATTATTTTAACATCTGTACACCAATACAAGTAATGATTGTGTGTGTCCGTGGGTGGGGCTGTGTCGGTGTGGTAATATGGGCTGGTGTGGCTACAATGTCTGTAATGGCTACAATCTCTATCTATCTATTTCAGTGTTAGTATGATTAAAAAACATTAGAGAGTATTTACTGTGAATTATTCATTCATTCATTCATTCATTTTCTTGTCGGCTTAGTCCCTTTATTAATCCAGGGTCGCCACAGCGGAATGAACCGCCAACTTATCCAGCAAGTTTTTTACGCAGCGGATGCATTTCCAGCCGCAACCAATCTCTGGGAAACATTAGCCTAGCCAATTCATCTGTACCGCATGTCTTTGGACTGTGGGGGAAACCGGAGCACCCGGAGGAAACCTAGGCGAACGCAGGGAGAACATGCAAACTCCACACAGAAACGCCAACTGAGCCGAGGCTCGAACCAGCGACCCAGTGACCTTCTTACTGTGAGGCGACAGCACTACCTACTGCACCACTGCTTCGCCTACTGTGAATTACTTTAGTATATTTTCATGTGGGTGTCTGACAACTGGAAATAGGTCTGGTAGCAGATATCGCAGCCTCTGTTACTTTTTACCTTGCACTTTTTTTGTTAACATTTATTACTATTTATTTAGAAAATGCTTTTTTTGATTCCAATGCCTAATTGTTAAACTGAAAAAAATGACTATAATTTCTAATTTAAATAGTTAAATTAAATATTTTTAAGAATAAAATATGATGTGTTTTTAAGAGTGTACTTGCATTATGATGCTAATATATTGTAATTCAGGCATTATATAATGAGTTGCATAATAGAGATGCGCGGATGGCGGTTACAGCCGCGGAATCCGCGGATAAACCGCGGATCGGGCGGATGACGTGACGAAAAATAATATTTTAATTAAATTCAGGCGGGTGGTGGGCGGTTGTACTGTTTTTGTACACATAGCTGGCGCACCAACGAAAAAGCCTAGGACTGACTTCACAGAATGAGAGGAGGAATCGGATACACTAATTCTGGATGAAGTACAGAAGTCTTCATCTACAAACTCCCGTATAGACGGATCAGCAGAGGAAAATCTACTTTCCTTTTGGGAGAAACAAGGCAGTCATTCCCACGTCTACAGCACCTTGCCAAGAGAATTCTATGCATTCCAGCAACAAGTGCTGCGAGCGAGCGCTCCTTCAGTGCAGCAGGCCGCATTAGAGGCCAGGCGCTCTCGTCTGAATGTTGAAATGATGTGTCAAAATGCGTTTTCTAGGCTACAATAATAATAAAAAAAATTGTACAGTACAGTGCGTTTAATTTAGGCAATTTATTTATTTTTGTCCCTGTGCGCCAATTGGAGACGGAGTTCACTGCTGATATTCTGAGAGCTTTATAGGGGTGCTTCTCATTTCTTATTTGTGTATCCTCGTTTCCTTTCCTTGCTTTCTTTCCTCGTCTTTCCACCCCTATAGGATGCGAGGGAAGGACGCAAGGAAAAGACTCAAGGACCGACCGAGGAATCGAATCAAGTGAAAAGACACGTCCTCGTATTGTTTAGCGTCACTTCAAAGCGTCAATTAATGCTGGATTTGACTTGCACGTTTGGATTAACTGCATGTCATTAAAGTCATTCTCTTTTTTTCTAATAATCAATAAAGAAACATTCATTTAATAATAAAAAGGAATAAGCCATTCAAATAAAGAGCTCAGTCAGCAGATGACGGGCGGGTGCGGTTTTAAAATTTGGTTAAAAATGTTAGTGCGGATGGATGGCGGACGGATGATGAGTTTTGTGATGCGGGTGTGGATGAAATAATAGCCCATCCGCGCATCTCTATTGCATAAAATGACAATAATATTGTAGATCGCAATATATATCTGGTGCAATATATCATATCATAAAAAAATTATCATGAAAGGCCTAACAGTAATATAACAGTAATTATATGTGCAAATTTGCTTTAAAAAATGCATTCCATTTGAAATTAATATATAATCTACATTTTTTGTTTATGTATATTTTTGATCATACTGGACTCTATGAGAAGTCAAAGTCTCGAATAAATTCAAATAAGCGGTCCAAGTTTCATGGTTTATTCAGCACCATCCAAATTGGTCTCACACAATCCATTCAGTGTCCTGTGCGAGTGAACTGATCCACTGTCCAGTGGGCCGCACAAATAATTGGCTCACACTGTGTGGTTCAGTTGTCTAGTGCAGTTTCTTCCCTTTTTGGTTTCATACCATACGTTATATAACTAAATAAGGCTTAATATCTATGTGTAACAAGGGTGGCGCGGTGGCTCAGTGGTTAGCACTGTAACCTCACAACAAGAAGGTTGCTGGTTTGAGTCCCGGCTGGGTCAGTTGGCACTTCTGTGTGGAGTTTGCATGTTCTCCATGTGTTCGCATGGGATTCCTGCGTTACAGGTGAATTGAATGAACTAAACTGGCTGTAATATATGAGTGCAAGTGTGAATGTATGGATGTTTATTAGTATGCTGGAAGGGCATCCACTGTGTAAAACATATGCTGAAGTAGTTGGTGGTTCATTCCGCTGTGGTGCCCCTGATAAATAAGGGACTAAGCTGAAAGAAAATGAATCTATGAGTAACAGTTCAGAATGTGTGTGTGAAAGAAATCAGTTAGACTTACCGACGACTCACTGTCCCGTATAAGGAAGTCTCCTTCCACTCCTCTCTCATTAAGCGCACACTCTGCATGGTGCCGTGTCACATTACCATAGTACCAGCCCTTTCCAGCAAATTTTCCTACACGCGAGGGCACTGTGTGACTGATGTGAGGGGATCCATGACTTGACCCTAAGCCCTTTGCTACCGGCCCGTCATCAAGCACTACCACATAGTTCTTAGGCACAAGGCCTACTATTCCGCGGCTGTTTTTACACCTCCACCACTCCGGGTCATTCTCGGGCTTTTCCAAAACCTCCATAGTCTCACCCTTCTCAAAGTTTAGTTCCTCCTCTGTGACTGAGCTGAAGGGGTACAGAGTCTGAACCACATGCAGAACGGAGCTCCCAGAGCCCCCCGGCCGGCCGTTGGCCATTGCTGAACCTTGCCCCACCTTCAACGACCGGAACCCCCCCACGGTGTCCCCGAACACCCCATCGTTGTCCGTGTATCCCACTTCCTCTTGGACGTAGTTAGACGGGAACCAGCCGACACGGCCAGCATGGCTACCCCTCCACCAGCCATCGCTGCACTTCTCCATGACGACCACCCTCTCCCCTTTGACGAGGTTGAGTTCATCGTCCCGCTCGGCTGCGTAAGAGAACTTCACCAATGCCGGAATGTTCAGGTCATAAATTCGTTCAGCTCCGCCCCCTCCGCCTCCTCCTGCGCTGCCATTGGATGGATATTCTGCTTCTGTGCTGGGTGTGGGAGATGGATCACGAGCACTGGTCTTCCTTTTCGTTTTGCCCAGTCCTGAGAGGAACAAACAGAAGCACAACAGTAAGTAGAAAGCTAGCAATTTAATGTAAACTAGAAATGATTAGTTCATTAGATGATTAACAGATCGTTAAATCAAGCCGGGACACACCAAGCCGATGACAAACAATAAGTAACTAACAACTAGTTGAAACCTAACTGTGTTGTTGCCTCGCGTTGGCTCACATCTGGCCCTGTCTGGACCAAAAAGCTGCATGTGAACGCACCAAAAAGCCAACTGAAGTGAGAGTTTACATTCTGCGCCTGCATAAGAGGATGTGTTTTTCCACACCCGTGGGTGGCATTAGTCTGTTTTCTTGTGCAAAGCAGAAACTGGATCTTCCCATGCCCACGTCTAGGGTTGTAACAATATACCGGTATGACGGTTTACCACGATTTGAACGTGCATGATTATCATACCATGAACAATTGCATATCAACGGTTTTAACCCTTAAAGACTGAGACAGCCGCCCGCGGCTAAAAATAAGTATTGCTCTTAAATGTTTAATAACTTTTGATCCGCTGATCCGATTCATACAATTCAAAGATTGGCATAAAGAAGAGAATCTCAGCTTTCCATTGCTGTATCACATAACATTCGCGGACTTTCAGAGGCTCCGGAATCAGTGCGGTTACGTCATCAAAATGTGCCAACGCTGATTTGACAAAGAAACGCTCGTCACTGTGTCTCCGGACAAACCAGACATGATATATTGATGCATTGTCCCTCCTCCATGCCCAGATTGGTTCAAACTCGCTATATCACAACCAATAAGCATAGGTTTCGCTTTTGTTTGTGGACCAACACTGAGCTTTTTGAACAACACGGAATGAGAGAAAGGCATACATTTATGCGCGGCTAAATGCAAAAAAAAAAAAAAGTTCTGCATTGCAGACAACCATATCCAAATCCATATCCACAGACAACCATATCCATGCTGGCACATAAAACCTAAGGATGTTCCATATTGAATCTAGTTTCGTTATGTAACTATTTATAGTATAGTAAATATTTATATCAATTTTTTTACTGAGGATTTGCACCATGTTTATTTGGACTTTATTTGGACTTTGACACATTATTTATTATTTTCTTATTTTTATTTGTTCATTGTAAGTGGTGTTGTTTATAGTAACTAAAAATATATTATTTGGAAAAAGTCAAATTTGCTTCACTGTTCTATTATTTTGTAACTTTTGTAACATACCGTATACCGCGAAACCGTCAAACCGTGGTAATGTTTTAGACGATTATCATACCGTAAAAAATTCATACCGTTACAACCCTACCCACGTCCAAAGCCTATATCACCCTGCAGCCCAAGACCGTTACTCACTGAAGCTAAGCAGGGCTGTGCCTGGTCAGTACCTGGATGGGAGACCACATGGGAAAACTAGGTTGCTGTTAGAAGTTTAGTTAAAGAGGCCAGGAGGGGGCACTCAACCTGTGGTCTGTGTGAGTCCTAATGCCCCAGTAAAAGTGAAGGGGACACTATACTGTCAGTGGGCGCCGTCTTTCGGAGGAGGCGTTAAACCGAGGTCCTGACTCTCTGTGGTCATTAAAAACCCCATGGCACTTCTCGTAAAGAGCAGGGGTGTATCCCTGGTGTCCTGGCCAAAGTCCCTCAATCAGCCCTTGCAATCATGGCCTCCCAATCATCCCCATACACCAATTTGGCTGTATCACTGTCTCTCCACTCCACCAATTGCTGGTGTGTTGTGAGCGCACTGGCACTGTTGTCCTGTGGCTGCCATCGCATCATCCAAGTGGATGCTGCACACTAGTGGTGGTGTGGAGAGACGCCCCTCATGATAGTGAAGCGCTTCGGATTTGTGGCTATACACAATAAATGCTCTATATAAATACACATGATATTACATTACAAACAAAGCAGCGTTCAGTACCATTATCACAGTAATTCTCGCTCACCACAAAATCATTTCCTCCTGCAAATATGTCTGTCTAATAATTCATATTGTTTGCAAATATTTGAGAATTATAGACAGCTGGCTGCCGCTTTGTGTTCCTTCTTGATCTGACCTGTTTACTTTCTACGTCACAATCGTACTCTGATTTGTTGCTAAATAACCAGTCAGAGCGATCTCTTCAGGCAATGGCCGATGCTACTGCCGAACCAGGTCAATGCAATCCAATGTTAACCTAATGAGAGCCGGCGTTTATTAGCCTGACGAAGCCCAATGGCCGATCGTCATCTTGTTTGGAAAAATTAGAGCCAGTACACACCAAGATTTTTTTCTGGGCTTCTGCTGGTCTAAATTTTTGATATGAAGCTAGTTAATGATGACTTACAGTATTATCACGGTATTGACCTATGATTACGATAAAAAAACTAAGTTTAATTAACAATTCACACTACCAGCTTATTACTTGTCTATTATGATACTGACTGTTTTTATTTTACATGCCTAACACTGTCCATAAAAACTACTACATTAACTACTAATAAACAGCTACTTAGTTGTTTATTGAGCTAAATGTCTTAATGGTTAATGGATTGTTAATGCAAGTTGCACCGAACTCAAACGCTTCCTCTTTTAATTCTGTTGAAACTCCCATTCTTACTATCTAATGAACCAGATACTACAAAGTACCCTAAAATTCCCTGATGTCTTAAAGCATTATCGTACTGCAGAAGATTGCCGTGTGATTCTGTGTAAAGCGAAGCTGATCTACTCAAGACTAGTGATCTGACTGTGTTGGAAAGCGAAAAAGAAATAAACACTAGAGTCCTGGGGCTGCATTGGGAACCGTGGAAGAAAAGGAGAGATTAAGGATTGAAGAGTTTCACATTCAGCTTTAAAGAAAAACGGGATTACTCTAATCTGGTTATCCAAAAAAAAAAAAAAAATACATAACCTCAGAGACAGAACTGGCTTGAGAGTAGAAAATTCAGTCTTATAAATGCACAGATGTTAGAAACATGAGAACGCAGTCCTGGAGACTCGTTTCAAGCTGAATTTCTTTATTTAGACATGTTGGTTGTTCTGCAGTCAAACAGCGTCTTCAAGAAGTGAATGAGCCTACAGGAGCCTCTTACAGTGACAAGAGGAGGCTTAAATGAGTCTATCACAAGTCTGCAAGTTTTATTTATTGATTTTTTATTATTTTTAAGAGGTTTTTTTATTTATTATGATAGGACAGTATATATTTCAGACAGGAAATCATTGGGAGCAGAGAGAGGGAAAGGATCGGCAAAAGACCTCGAGCTGGGAATCGAACTTGGGTCGCCGTTAGCATGTCAGTGCAATATGTCGGCACACAGTACCACTTTTTTTTATTGAAATAATTTCAATTACAATCTTATACGGTAAAACATAATAAAACAGACAGTAAAGATCATTTCATATTCAAAACATTAAAACTGTGGTACTTTCCAGTTCATTTCTTTAAAAACTTGACAAGCTTTGTCCGTCAGAATTTTGTACAGCTCACTCAAAATGTTCTCAATTTTATAATATACATACAGTTTTTCCACATATCTTTCCATTTTCCCCCTTAAAATCCCCCATACATCCATCTCCATGTTCTCTTTTTTTTGCCACAGTTCTCCTTTCCCACATTGCATTTTTCATCAGCATTTTACATAGGTTTACTATTTTCTAATTTTCATTTTTCTTATTCTATCCCAAGATTACTACTCTGCTCCGTTCTGTTTCAATTTCATCCCAGTCTCCAAGTAGTCGTTTAATTAAAACTTTACAATCTTTAAAAAAACCTTCCAATTCTTGACAATATAAAAACATGTGTAAAAAACCTTCTTCTTTTTGACATACTTTACACATTCCACTTTGTTCCATCCCCATCTTGTTTAAAATTACATCAGAAAAGATTGCTTTGTGCCTTATTAAAAATTCTAGACATTCGAAATTTGTTTCTACATGCCTTCCTTTCATGTTTCCCCATATTTCATTTGCTTTTACATTTTTGTATTTCTGCATCCAGTATTTGTTTGCTGTTGGACTTTAAAAACATTCTCTCTAAAAAAACAATAAATATTTTTCACAGTACATTCTTCAAAATCGTACTTTTTTTTTTTCAACTATTTTTACACATAGTACCACTAGGCTATTGGTATTGACAAGTCTGCAAGTTTAACAAGTCTGATTTGAGACAGAGCTGTCCGTGTATATTATGTTTTTTAGGAAGAGGACATGACTAGGTTAAGATGGCTAAACCAAGCATGCAAATGAAGTAGGTACAGTACAGTACAGTACAGTAATGTTATTGATATAGTTGCAATGGAAGCCCTCAGTGTGACATCAACAACAGGACCACCACTCTAAACTTAAAAGACGATGGCAAGAATTTGATTGTAAAATACTAAAAAACAAACCCTTTTTTTTGTGAATAAATATTCATGGATTAAATGTTCACTTTAAGTAAACAATGAGAGTTAGCTAAATAAACACTGTACATTGATTTCACATGAACTATAATGTTTAAGAATTAGGCCAGCTGGCAGAGATTATTTTTGTGACTGTTTAAATTCGTTCAACCCCATTCGCCTTTACTCTTTGTAAGACCTCCAGTTGAATATATTTTCCACAAAAAAATGTGTGTTAACAAGTGTGTGGATGTCACAAACCAGATCAGTACACACTGGTTGTTTCCTATTACTTAATTGTGGTTCTGCATGTAGTGTAAGCTTCTTTAACCATTAAGCTTTGCATTGGCTTATTTAATGTGTGTATGTCTTGTGCAAATTTTGAAGGGGAAAACACTTGGGGTTTTATAATAAGCTGAATACTTGACAGTTATCTGTGTACAAGTAAACATTCATTCTCTAAATGCCATTGAAACAGACAAGTACCCTGTCATATTCTTAGCAGGACCCCGGTATTGATCTCAATGCCTTGACAGGCAGCCAAAAATAAGCCCTCTCACTTGTTCCCAGGTAACAGAGGAAATCTGCCACCTCCAATATTCCTGCCTCCTCTGCGGATCCCATGTGGCCACACAAAGCACACAACCAGA